CTCTCAGATCCTGCTGCCAAGGAGAACTGCATGATGCACCTTCTCCGCTCGCTGCCTGACCCCAACCTCATCACCTTCCTCTTCCTGCTGGAGCACTTGAAAAGGTAATGGTTCAGGGGCTATCTGGAGCAGGTGGGAGGGTGCAGCCCCAGGTATGTCCCACCTGCCCCATCTCTTTGGTCTTGGCCAGGCTGCAGCCTCTTCAGACCCTTTGGCTGATGTCAGTGTTGGCTTTCCATGTCTCCTCTCTGCGGGCCCATAGGATGCTGGAGGGCTCTTGGACCTGTTCTGCCCCAGCGCCATTGGCCACAGTGCCAGTGGGGCCTGTGCAGTGCTGGCCACTGATGCAGGTCAGCTCTGCAGGGAACACATGTCCTCTGGCAAGATGCAACTCTTGGCTGCTGCAGCCAGTGTGCAGCTGGTTGGATGAGCTCTGTGGGGAGCAGCTGGCCTTGGCGCAGGACAGGGAATTAATTGGGAGCTGTGCAGTGTCCCCCTTAGCAGGAAAAACAGAGCTGTGTCCCTTCCCACAAGTTCAGCGGTAGCCCTTGCAAAACAAGGTGCAATAACACCTGTAACCTGTCTGCAGTGTGGGGCCAAGACCCAGAGAGAGAGTCAGCTTTGTGGACATGTCCCAAAGCTGCAGGTGACACCCCATGTTGCCCATCCCAGGGCAAGTGCAGCAGTGTGTGGTTTGACAGGCTTAATCCTAGCCCAGATGAAGCTCATCTGAACCTGGGGACATACAGTTCTGGGGTTCACTGGGGGCCTGAAAAACGTGGTGGGCACGGGGCTATGGGTAGGGCAGTGGAACAGCATGCAGATCCTGGCCAGACCTGGCCATGAGCTTGAAACTGGGGCTCATGGCTTATGTTACTTGCATCATGAAGCATTTTTTTCCCCTTTGGTTTGGCTAAAACCAAACAGAAAAAGTGATTGATGCTGGGGGATGGGGAAGGAAAAATCCATTTCCATCCTGAGAACCGGGCACAGCCAGTTCCCACATCTGCTCCCCTGGCTGGGGCTCAAGCAAGCAGCCTGTGCCGGGGAGCACAGCTGCCTCCTAACATGGCAATGTTGTGGCCCTCATTCCCTTGATGCTGGCAGGAGTCCCACAGGGTTGTCGGGGCAGGGAGCCTTGAGGGGAGTGGGTGCAGGGGGCACAGGCTGGTGCAGAGCTCCCTGTACCCTGCTGGGCTGGGGAAGGGTGGAGGCCCCACAGCACATAAGCAAGTGAGGGTTTGGTTGTGCTGCCACATCACACCCGAGGCTCCCAGCCAGGCCCCGCGGCTGCAGCGGAGGCCGTGAAGGGGGCAGAGCTCCCTGCCCTGCACCTGGGTTTTCTGAGGGCTGGGAAGGGCAGTGGCAAACTGGAGGTGTTCTGCTGGGGCTGGCAGGAAGGAGACCAGCTCTCACCCCCCACATCACCCCATGGCTGCCCTGGTCAGCATTAGGGGCTGACACTCCCTCTCTCCTCATACCCTGCAGGGTGGCTGAAAAGGAACCTATCAACAAAATGTCACTCCACAACCTGGCCACGGTCTTTGGGCCAACACTGCTGAGACCCTCAGAGGTGGAGACCAAGGCACACCTCACCTTGGCCTCCGACATCTGGTCCCACGATGTGATGGCCCAGGTAAGAGCCACACTGGCAGTGTGGGGCTGCAACCTGCAGCAGTACCCTGGATGGGGAATGGAGGGGTTCACCTGCCTGTCTGGGTAGATTTGTCACTCTGCTGCACAGTGACAAGCTGGGAGGAGGACAGCTCTTCCCCTTCCTGCCCTAACACCCCCCGCTTGCCTTCTATAGGTCCAGGTCCTTCTCTACTACCTGCAGCATCCTCCCATCTCCTTCACCGAGCTGAAACGCAACACACTTTACTTCTCCACGGACGTGTAGCCTGCAGGGAGAAGGCACCAGCTGCAAACACTCCCAGCTCCCTGCTGGGGGACACGGACTGGCCTGCAGCCCCCCAGGGAGAGCAGCCTGGACCCAGGATGGTGCCGCCTGCAGCTCCCGTACGATCGTGTCGAGCGGCCCGGTCCCGCCAGGCGCCACGTCTCTCTGTAAAGTAGTCGTGTCTTATGTCCCTTCTTGTGTTCAAGAATTGTTTTTATGTATATTTGTTCAACGGAAGAGGTAGTGACTGACAAGGGCTGTGGACACAGGCTTCCCCCTTGGCTAGTTTTCTCCTGGACTCCTTCCCTCCTGCTCACTCCTCCCAGGCGCCCTCGTCTCGCCCAGCCCGAAGCCTGCAGCATCCCACGAGTGCCTGTTTGCTGCCCAGCTCCCCTGCCCCATGCCTGCATGTGCAGCACCTGCTCACTCATGGCTGGGAGCTCGTGGGCTTCCCTCCCCAGTGACAGTGATGACCAGCTCTGCTTTGGCTTGCTGCCTGCGCAAACGTTGGACCCTGTGCCTGGATCCTGCTCCGGCCTGAGCAAACCTGCGACCACGAGAGCAGAGGAGACAGAGGTGCTGCTTCCTCCTCACCACGTCTCTTCTGGGTGTTTTCAGGCCAGTTCCCTCCACAGCCCCAATCCTGTGCTTTGCCTGTGTGCGTGTAGCATGGCGGTTACGTCCCTCGCTGGATCTCGCCTCCAGGTAGCGTTTTGGGATAACCCCTCACACAAGGCTGGAGCGAGAGGTGCTGTGCTGGTCTCGATCCACGGCAGGCTGGAGGGATGGCCAGCCAGGCAGGTCTGCTTCCTCTGCCATGGGCTGACCCCGAGTCTCTGCTCTGGCACTGATAGGGGCCCATGAGGATCCCAAGTTTTCCCAGTTTGGAAATCTGGCAGGGAACAGGGTCCCTGCCATTTCTGTACACCCATATCTCTGCTGCAGTGAGGCAGTCATGCCCCTGCCAGCCCAGCACTGCCCTGAGCATTGCATGCACCCTGTGGCAGAGCCTGCCAGGGCACC